CCCACCTATATCAACAACACCGAAATGCAACATGCATGACATGAAAAATTGTCGGGAATCCCTCGGAATAGTCAATCTAAGTTACGGATAAATAACCCCATGTAATTCGAACCATGACTAACTACGTGGGATCAAACCACCCCTAGGCCCTACGGTACCAGGCTCGCCGTACCCGAGAAATTTACCGTAACCTCGAAATGACTTTCCAACATAGTTTTATTTTTTTTAAATTCATGACACTAATGCACCCACCCATGCACCCTTTCTACTTACCCTTCTCTCATTCTTACACCCAATGATTCACATAAGCAAGCAAGAGCACATAGGAGCACATAGAAAATACACATAAAGCTTCACAAAATCATTTAGCCATAAAACATAGAAATAACCGAAATCTTAACATGCAAAAACAATCTAGCAATAAAGTTTACTAGATCTAGCATTTTACAAGAATAAAATTCAAGACTTCCATCTTTACATTTATTCAAGCAAATACACTAGATCTTCACATGCAAGAGTATTTTAAATCAAATTAGCACAAACTCTTAGTTCTTAAACCATTTTCCATAGAAAACACTAGATCTTAACATGCAAGACTTTAGATCAACCATTAATTACTAGATCTTAACATGCAAGATCTTAGATTAACAACCAATCACAAATCTTAACATGCAAGGCCTTAAAACAACAATCAACACGGGATCAACACATGCAAAACACAAAATAAACCACATAAGCAATTTCAAGCATTTTATCTCAAAAATCCGAAAGTTCCTTAGTCAAGTCAAAAATTCATTTCTTTTCACACATCAACAATTAAACACTAGATCAACACATGCAAGGAGCTAATCAAGCCAAATAAGCCATTTAAAACATTTTTCCCCAAAAATCCGAAAGTTTCATGGCTAGGCCAAAAATTCATTTTCTTTTCAAAAATCAACAATTAAACACTAGATCAACACATGCAAGGAGCTAATTAAGCCAAATAAGCCATTTAAAACATTTTTCCCCAATTTTCGAAAAATCATAAAATTTCAAGAATAAAACTATCTTTTCAAAATACTAACATGCAATCATCATCTAAAACACATAATCACATAATATGCAAGAATCAACAATAAAAACACATAAAAACAGAAAATACTAGTGGTGTTGTAGGTTTGAGCAAGAATTCAAGAATTCTCACCTATACTCTTTAGGGGAAGGGCTTGTTAGCTCTTTTCTCTCTAATACAAGAAGAGGTTAAGAGTTAGATTAAGCATTAAGAAAATAAGAAGAAAAACAAAAGAACTTGGAGGAAGAAGAGCCTTGCTCTTTCGGGAAAGAAGAAGAAAGAAGAGGGAGGAGAAGCTTACTCCTAAGCTTGGCCGAAAACTCTCCTCTTGTTGAAATAGAAGGAGACTTTGAACTTAAGTATTGTAAGAGTGGAGTTTGAGAGTGAATTTTGATCTTGGGCATGGGAGGTATTTATAGAGTTTTTGGAGACTTCAAAGCCAATGGAGAAGAAAGGGAAATTCATATTTTGTGGGGGTGATTTTGCAATTTCCGAAAGTATGAGGTGGTGGTGGTTCTAGGGTGGTTCAAGCTTGAGAGGGTGGTGGTTATGGTGGTGGTGGTGGCTGCCGAAATGAAGGGGAAGGAGAAGAAGAAAGAAAGACTTTTGGCCTTAAAGTGGTGTGTGGAAGTGGAAAAGCAAGCCTAGACTAGAGGGTAGGGGGCTAGCTTTTGGGTATTTCTTTCTATGCTCAAGGTACAACCACACCAATGCATGTCTTATACTAATTAATATGCAAATTTAAAAATCATGTGTGTGTGTGTGAGTGATGTCCGAAAATTCAAGAAAATGTGGGGAGCATTTTCTAATTTTCGACATTAACTTAAAAATCCAAAATGCATGGGGAAATTTATTTTTTCTACAATTTTGTGTATGAAATGCTCATTTAAAAATCACATGCAAGAATAAAATCCTAATTCATGAAAATAATTTATTTCGACATATTATCTCGAAATATTTCCTAAGCACATAATTCACATAATTCACATAATCACATATTTCACATAATCACACAATGCACCCAATAATTCACGTAATCACATAATGCACACAATAATCCACATAATCACATAATTCACATAATCACATATTTCACATAATTACCTAATTCACCTAAATACTAACCATGCAAGAATTATTATAAATTCTAATTTCACAAATATGCACATAAAGGTGGTAAAATAACATAATATTATTTTACCGAAATGCGGGGTGTTACAAATAGTATTAAAAAAAATGTTTTCAAAATTACTTAAAAGACTTGGAAAGATTTCGAGAAAATTAGACCTTTTTGGGGAAAAATGGAAAAGTTGTGTTGATTGTTAATTTCTGTTCTTGCATGCATCATTTGTGTTTAGATAAAAGTTTTATTGGCCAAGAACTTATAAGAAATTTCAGATTTTTAAAGAGTGTTGCGAGAAAAATGAATATTTGAACTTTTATGGGGTTGCATGTGTAGATCTAAAGATTTTTGGGTCAAATCCATAATTTTCAAGAAGTCAGTCCTAAATGTGTTTTCAAAACTGTTTTTCAGCATTTATTGAGTGAAATTCGAATTTTAAAAAGGGTTGCACAAGAAAATGAATTTTTAAACTTCTAGTGGTCTTGCATGTATAGATCTAGAGATTTTGGGGTAAAGTATGTAATTTTCGAAACTTCTACCTCAAGTAACTTTTTAACTTTGTTTTCTGCATATACTAAAGTAAAATTTCAGATTGTTAGGGGTTTTTCATGAAAAATCAGATTTTGAACTTTTAGTGTGGTTGCATGTGTAAATCTTGGAACTTTGGGGTCAAAATTGTAATTTTTGAAAAATCAGTCCCTTCTAAATTTTGAGAGTCTGTTTTTCCAGCAAGGGTTAAATAAGAAGAAATTTGTGTTTTTAAAAGTTTTATTGGGGTCATATTAAGAATTTGCATTTTTAAGAAAAAGGGATTTTTCCTAGTTTTTATTTTAAAGAAAATTCGAAACCTTATGAAATTTTAAAAATAATTTCGGAAACAAAAAATTTGGTCAGTTAGGAACTCTAGAATTAAATTTGGGAATTTTTGGTATTAGTTTACTATTATTTCTAATTTTTAACATCATGCATGTCATTTATGATGTTTTGTGCTTTAACCTCCTTGTCTTAAAATAGTTGATTGTGAAGGATGAAACTTAGGATTGTGTACCTTAAATTTCTGCAGAAGATGTGTTAATTACTGCTGGAAATTAATCGATATGGATTTATTACCTAGAAGTGGTAATAAATTCGTTAAGTAATGGATAAAAAGGGGTACTTGCTTGGCAAACATATTTAAGTGTTAAATGGTGACATATTATATGTGTTTGGATGGATGTGTATATATGTGTGCCGTGTGTGTGGCTGTGTGTGTATACATATGTGTGAATTATTGCATAAGTATGTGATAAGTTATGGTAATTATGTGATTATATGGTACTTGATTGATATTTGTGGTGTTATGTGTGAATTGCATAATTAGTGTGACAAAAGCATAATTTTGAAAAAAGATTGCATTTCATTATTTTGAAAATTGAAAGATTAATGGAATGCTTAGTGAATAAACGGGATATGGTGGGCCGGTATCCGACTAGTATGAAATACGTGGTTTGATTCCACAATAGAACGGGCTCGAAACGCTTTATAGTTTATTGCTAGGCACAGAAGTTAGTGCTTAGTGAATAAACGGGATACGGTGGGCCGGTATCCAACTAGGATGAAATACGTGGTGTAATCTGAACGGGCTCGAAACGCTTTATAGTTTATTGCTAAGCACAGAAATTAATCTTTCACGGATCCGATAAAACGAAAACGATCTTTCATGATTTTCATAAAAAGAGCATTTTAGTCATTTTGCATAAGTAAGTGTTTATGTGTGAATGATGTGTTATCGTGAAATATGTGATTAACCGTTTGTCTTGTGTTGTTTCAAACGTGAGTAAGGATAACTATATATATTTTATATTATATATTATATATAACGTATTTTCAAAGTTCGATATTTTATCGGATTTCTTACTGAGCTTTATAGCTCATATAGATGCCTTTTAATTGCAGGTAATAGTGTTAGTAACCCTCCACCGGAATGGATCGAGTAGCGCATCGAGGTCTTGCCCGGGATTTTTGGGAAGTTGTACGAGGACCTATGAATGATGCTAAAGTATTTTGGTTTTGGCGATGTAATAGTAAACTTAAATATTTCCTTTTTCGAGTCTTTCGAACTCAAACCGGTATGGATCGTACTTGACTTTTATTATAAAATAGTCCGTTTAGTAAATTTGTTATTTTCCCGTCTCACTAGTGGTTTTTCAAAATATTCACCAAAACACCTTTCAAAACTCTGATTTCTTTTCGAACCAAAAATAAGATAGCTTGATAGTGTAGCACTCGAACAAAAATCCTCCTAAGAAAGTTTTCGAAAATGACAAAACGTTTTTTTTTAAATGTTCTAAAGAAGAGATTTTTAATAATTTCATTTTAGTCCCATTCCAAAGTTTTAAAAATTACAAAGAGATCCTTTTGCTTCCGCTAGTTAAATGAATATTCCGATAAACTGGTTCGATTTATCGCCCGATAAGAAGGGGGGTGCTACAAGGTGGTATCAGAGCATGGTTCATAGATACTCGTACGAACTTCACGGGTTTAAAGACTACTCGAGACGCGAAGCTTCGGTAACTGTGTGAATTTTATTACTCTATGTGTTTTATTTGCTTTACTTATTAGTTGTAAATTAATATAGAAATAATGGCGAGACGTATAACCTGAGGAAACTCGAGCACTCCTTCCGATGAACCACAAGATCCCAATCAAACCATTAACGATCTTTCGAACTTAATCCGTGAACAAGCCCAAAACCACCAACGCCAAATCGAACAACTTCTCCAACATAACCAAGCCCCGCCTCAAAATAACGCACCCCAAGCCATATACGAACGATTCCTCCGAATGAACCCGTCCGAATTCCACGGTGGAACCGATCCCGCCATAGCCGAAGAGTGGATCCAATCTCTCGAAGTCATCTACGACTACATGAAAATGACCGACCGTGACCGCGTACACTGTGCCATAGCTCGTCACTGGTGGGAAGGAATCAAGGAAGGAACGAACCTCGAAACTTTGCCATGGACCGATTTCAAAATCCAATTTTTTGAGAAATATTTCTCAAAAGACGTGCGAGCTCACAAACTCGAAGAATTCCTCGAACTCCGTCAAGGTGACTTACCAATGATTGAATACATTCGTCGTTTCGAACGTGGCTGCCTCTACGCTTCATTCATCGCTCGAGACGCCGAGGAGAAGAAAAACCATTTCATTCGTGGCCTCCAACCCGAAATCCGCCGAGATATTCGTATGTCCGACGCCTCGACTTTCCGACAAATAGTAGACAAAGCCCTCATGGCTGCCTAGGACGAACGAGACATTCAAAACAGCCGCCGACCTCAAGGAGTTACTCACCGCCCATGGAAAAAGGGTAACTTTGGCAACCGTCCAATTCAAGGAAAAGAAATTCAGCCCGTACGCCTGCCAATCGGACCACTACCACCGCCACCACCGTCGAAACCAATATGCCCGAAATGTGGGAAAAGAGACTTTGGAATCTGCACCTTTGGAACGGGTAACTGTTTTCGATGCCAAAAGCCCGGACACAAGGCACGAGACTGTCCGAATACTCCGAACACCGTCCCCGGCCGTGTATTTGCCATGACTCAAGAAAAAATTGAGCAGGATCCCTCTACGGTAGCAGTCGATTAAGTCACGAATACCAAATGCTCATTCCGTCCGGCGAAGAAATGTGCTCAAGCCTAGTAGTACCTAATTGTCCGATCCGAGTTCACACTCAACCTATGAATTTCGATTTAATCCTCTTACCAATCCAAAACTTCAAAATTATACTAAGCATGGACTGGTTAACCAAATTCAAAACCCAAATCGATTGTGTCTCAAAAATGGTTATTTTTCCCCTTCCGAACGGCAAAACCCTAAAATTCCAAAGTCAACCCAAAACCTCGATTCCAATCAATTCTGCAATCAATGCAGACATACTTATTCACAAGGGTCATTCCGGCTACTTAGTGGATATTCTAAAATCCGAACCCGATACCGAAACCCAAATGTTCGACATTCCCGCAGTGCAAGAATTCCCCGATGTATTTCCCGACGACATTCCTGGACTTCCACCCGACCGAGAAATTGAGTTCGAAATCAATCTTATCCCCGGAGGTACACCAATTTCCAAAACTCCGTACCATATGACCCAAATGGAATTAAAAGAGTTGAAGGACCAAATTCAAGAATTGCTCGACAAAGTTATGTTCGACCAAACCATTCCTTGTGGGGCACACCGTTTCTCTTCGTCAAAAAGAAAGACGGATCCCTTCGCCTTTGCATCGATTATCGTGAACTCAACAAAATCACAATCAAGAATAAATACCCTCTTCCTCAAATCGATGATCTTTTCGACCAATTCCAAGTCTCATTGGTCTTCTCTAAATAAAAAAAGATACAATGGAGTGTAGCAATAATACTCGACGTTTACGTTTACGTGGATTTTTGTTTGGATTAATTTATATTTCTATTTTTATTGGTGGATTTTGTATCTTTTAGGTACAAATCGAAAATTAGGTGTCCAGGAAGCAAAACTGATCAAAGGGTAAGAAAAGAGTTGCAATTAAGAAAATAAAATCAAATTAGAAGAGAGAATCCCTCAACATCTTTGGTAGTGTCCACGAAGTCGAGTATAACTCTCTCATCGGGGCTCCAAATCTACTGGTTCCGGTGGCATTAGAAAGCTAATTCAGTGGGCTACAATTCCCGTCTAACGTCAAAATTCCGAATTCGGACTCGAACATGGGAAAAATTGGATAACAAAAGCGATCATGAAAATACGTACTACAATTCAAGGACGTGAATGCGCATAAAGAAACGTGCACAAAAACACTCGCTAGAAAAGATACGCACATGAGTAAAAGTTCAAAAGCATGCACAAAAGTACTCAAGCAAAAGTGCATTCACAAAAAGGATCATGAAAACAAAAACTACAATCCTAGGACATTAATACAAATTAACAAACATGCACAAACACGCTCCCTCAAATGGACATGCACAAAAACGTACTTGTAAAACTAGATGCGCAAAAGTGCATCCGAAGCAATCTTCTTAAAAACACGAACTACAATACTATGACTTTAATACGCATCAACAGACAACAGCAAAAACACTAGATCAAAAAGATACAATGGAGTGTAGCAATAATACTCGACGTTTACGTTTACGTGGATTTTTGTTTGGATTAATTTATATTTCTGTTTTTATTGGTGGATTTGGTATCTTTTAGATAAAAATCGAAAATTAGGTGTCCAGGAAGCAAAAATGATCAAAGGGTAAGAAAAGAGTTGCAATTAAGAAAATAAAATCAAATTAGAAGAGAGAATCCCTCAACATCTTTGGTAGTGTCCACGAAGTCGAGCATAACTCTCTCATCCAGGCTCCAAATCGACTGGTTCTGGTGGCATTGGGAAGCTAATTCAGTGGGCTACAATTCCCGTCAAACGTCAAAATTCCAAATTCGGACTCGAACATGGTCAAAATTGGATAACAAAAGCGATCATGAAAATACGTACTACAATTCAAGGACGTGAATGCTCATCAAGAAACGTGCACAAAAACACTCGCTAGAAAGGATACGCACATGAGTAAAAGTTCAAAAGCATGCACAAAAGTACTCAAGCAAAAGTGCATTCCCAAAAAGGATCATGAAAACACAAACTACAATCCCAGGACATTAATACAAATCAACAAACATGCACAAACACGCTCCCTCAAATGGACATGCACAAAAACGTACTTGTAAAAAAACATGCGCAAAAGTGCATCCGAAACAACGTTCTTAAAAACACGAACTACAATACTATGACTTTAATACGAATCAAGAGACAACAGCAAAAACACGAGATAAAACAGATACAATGGAGTGTAGCAATAATACTCGACGTTTACGTTTACGTGGATTTTTGTTTGGATTAATTTATATTTCTATTTTTATTGGTGGATTTGGTATCTTTTAGGTAGAAATCGAAAATTAGGTGTCCAGGAAGCAAAAATGATCAAAGGGTAAGAAAAGAGTTACAATTAAGAAAATAAAATCAAATTAGAAGAGAGAATCCCTCAACATCTTTGGTAGTGTCCACGAAGTCGAGCATAACTCTCTCATCCAGACTCCAAATCGACTGGTTTCGGTGGCATTAGAAAGCTAATTCAGTGGGCTACAATTCCCATCTAACGTCAAAATTCCAAATTCGGACTCGAACATGGGAAAAATTGGATAACAAAAGCGATCATGAAAATACGTACTACAATTCAAGGACGTGAATGCGCATCAAGAAACGTGCACAAAAACACTCGTTAGAAAAGATACGCACATGAGTAAAAGTTCAAAAGCATGCACAAAAGTACTCAAGAAAAAGTGCATTCCCAAATAGGATCATGAAAACACAAACTACAATCCAAGGACATTAATACAAATCAACAAACATGCACAAACACGCTCCCTCAAATGGACATGCACAAAAACGTACTTGTAAAACTACATGCGCAAAAGTGCATCCGAAGCAATCTTCTTAAAAACACGAACTACACTATGACTTTAATACGCATCAACAGACAACAGCAAAAACAGTAGATAAAAAAGATACAATGGATTGTAGCAATAATACTCGACGTTTACGTTTACGTGGATTTTTGTTTGGATTAATTTATATTTCTGTTTTTATTGGTGGATTTGGTATCTTTTAGGTACAAATCCAAAATTAGGTGTCCAGGAAGCAAAAATGATCAAAGGGTAAGAAAAGAGTTGCAATTAAGAAAATAAAATCAAATTAGAAGAGAGAATCCCTCAACATCTTTGGTAGTGTCCACGAAGTCGAGCATAACTCTCTCATCCGGGCTCCAAATCGACTGGTTCCGGTTGCATTAGAAAGCTATTTCAGTGGGCTACAATTCCCGTCTAACGAAAAAATTCCAAATTCGGACTCGAACATGGTCAAAATTGGATAACAAAAGCGATCATGAAAATACGTACTACAATTCAAGGACGTGAATGCGCATCAAGAAAAGTGCACAAAAACACTCGCTAGAAAAGATACGCACATGAGTAAAAGTTCAAAAGCATACACAAAATTACTCAAGCACAAGTGCATTCCCAAAAAGGATCATGAAAACACAAACTACAATCCTAGGACATTAATACAAATAAACAAACATGCACAAACACGCTCCCTCAAATGGACATGCACAAAAACGTACTTGTAAAAAAACATGCGCAAAAGTGCATCTGAAACAACGTTCTTAAAAACACGAACTACAATACTATTACTTTAATACGAATCAAGAGACAACAGCAAAAACACTAGATAAAACAGATACAATGGAGTGTAGCAATAATACTCGACGTTTACGTTTACGTGGATTTTTGTTTGGATGAATTTATATTTCTGTTTTTATTGGTGGATTGGTATCTTTTAGGTACAAATCGAAAATTAGGTGACAAGGAAGCAAAAATGTTCAAAGGGTAAGAAAAGAGTTGCAATTAAGAAAATAAAATCAAATTAGAAGAGAGAATCCCTCAACTTCTTTGGTAGTGTCCACGAAGTCGAGCATAACTCTCTCATCCGGGCTCCAAATCGACTGGTTCCGGTGGCATTAGAAAGCTAATTCAGTGGGCTACAATTCCCGTCTAACGTCAAAATTCCGAATTGCACTCGAACAT